TGCCCTCAGAATACACAGCCTCATGGGGAGGAAGATAGGATGTGAGGTCCCCATTTGAGCTCAGGTCAGTGAAGGAGGAATGTTGCTGAGGAGCACCCAAGCCTTAGCTTTGGTTATTGAAGGGGAGAATTAGGTTTTAAGGTGGAAATCAAATACAGTTAATACTACTCCTGTGAATCCCTTAGGATGCTGCTATATTGCAGGCTGACCTACCACCCTCAGCAAGTTTTTCCTCCTGCTCTGGAAGAGATGCCTTTTCTTCCTGATGAAAATGTTGGCTGGTATTAGGGGCCATGCTGTAGGAAACATGGGTCCTGCATATTGAAACCTCAGATTCCCCCCAGACAGTGGTGTGCTGAAGCCAGCTAGAACTGGCTTGTGAGAGCTGGTTTCATGCATCTTTTCCCAACTCTGCATTCAGTGTCATCATGCTGTTAGTTTGAAATGAGTCCTAGTGGGCGTATTTACACCACAGAAATTGTCAAATGTTAGAGACCAGGGCTTTTTCCCCCTGAGGAGGCAGCTGGTAGGCACTTACCATCATACCACTGCCCACCAAAAAAGGCTGGTGGGAGCAGAGAGATGGACCAAGGGACCCGAAGGGAACCCATGGATTTACAGCTTCCATCTCAAGCTCACTCCAAGTCCTTTCACTTTTGAATAGAGTAAATACTACTAGAGTAGAATTGCTGCACAATTTAAGTTTCTATTTGTACTCTGTCTCTTCTTTTTTGTTGTTGAGGACAAATAACCGATTTGAGTAGTAAAAGATGCATATGCTGTCCTCACTGGAAGGCAAGATGGCTGACATTGGAAGTTGTCTTTGGGTCCAACTCATAATGGAGTCCTGCCTGGGTCCTGGGGAAGGGAGGCACCTAGCCAGAACAGAGTGGGCCTGTTGTTAGCTGGGGAAGGACAACGCACATATCAGTGCTCAAGGTCTGTGGGGACAACTAGCAGAGAGGAGCTCACCTTTGTTTTCCCACAGAACGCTGTGGTGTGTGTCCTCTGGGGCAGGAGGTCTGTCAGAAGAGGAGGTGCTGGGTGAGCTCATGCTCCTGTGAAGCCGCTTCGGGCTCTGTGAAGCAGCAGATGGTGACTGGGATGGGAAGGGAAGGCCCTGGCAGTGCCGAGACACAGGTGCGTTCAGTAAATATTTGCTGAGTAGAAACCAGTGATGGCTGCCCCTTGTAGTTTAGCTGAGAGCTGCATGTCTTGTTCAGAAGCATATGTGACACCCCAGGGTCCTCACAGGCAGGGTTGAGAAAATGACACCTCCACTCTCAGGTGCAGACCTGCAATTGCACCAGCCTGAGGGGCCTCCTCACCTCACCTGTTCACAGGGCCCGAGTCCTGCATCAGAAGGGGGAGGGCAAGAGCCAGTGATGATTGTTGATGTCACAAATGACTGACAACTTGGTAAAGTGCTGTGACAGCCCAGCACAGAGAGTACCTAATTCCATCTGAGACAGGACAGGGCAGGCCTGCAGGGAGGCCATTTGAGCTGCTTCTGGGAGGGTCAGCAGACATGTGACAGGGGACAGGCGGGAGGGTCTTACTCCAGGGAGCGGGAGCAGGCTCACAGACTGGAGGCTGATGGGGCATCCTTTCTTAGGTCCACAGAGGATCAGGATTGATTGCTATAAATGGGGAAATCTTTTCCCAGTTAACTGCTCCTGCTGTTAACTGAGGCTCTCCCTTGCCTCTGAGCCCCGATAGGGAGGGGGTCTCAAACGTCCAAGTGCACATTCTCAGTGTCTGTATGTGGGGATCTGCAGAGCCCACCCTCTGCCCTGTGGGGTGGAGTGGTATGGCCTGAGCCCCTGGGGTGTGCAGAAGGTTATACTTGGTGTTGTGGTCTGTCCTCCCCCACTGGATGGAAGAGAGATGCTGGGAACTCATACAGCCAAGACCAGTGAGGGAAACCTTGTGATAAAGGAAGTCGAGCAGAAAGGGGCCGATTGATGTGGTTGGAGTGAATGTCATCAACAAACTGAGGTCAGTTTGGAGCCCTGCAAGGGAGCTGGGCCCAGGCGGGGACAGGAGCAGTCTCCACCAGTGCAGCTTCTCCAGGTTTAAAAGGTAACGTAGTTGGCATGACTGCTGGGATGGTTAAGAGTAAAATGAAAACACATTGTGAAAGCTGGATTGAGACAACCAATCCATTGAGGACAGTGTCCACTGCCCCAGGGAGGGAGGAGGGTTCACCAGCCTCCAGCTCACAGATGTGAGGGTCCCGAGCCCTGCTGGGAGACCAGCTGAGGATTTGAAGGCCAGCAGCCTTTGCAGATGTGGGCTGGGGTGGAGGCGCAGGCCCATTTGTGACGCACTGAGTGCAGGACGAGGTGGCTGTGGTTGACCAGGGGCGACCTTGGTTCTCAGAGGCTGTGAGATGCAGCCACAGGCCTTGGTTCCCCTGCCTGGGCGTGGTGTGAGGGAGGTGAGAGGCCGCTGTGGGACAGGCCTCCCACGCCCTCACTATGGCTTCTCAAGGTCTGAAGACATCTTAGTGTGGGAGATTCAATTCCCTGAGAGGGTCTTGGATCTGGAAAGCCCATTCATCTGAAAGGCTGAGGACTTGGTGCTAGTCCTGGCTCTGCCACCTACTGGCTTCCAGACCTTGCATCTATTCATGAACGTTCATGTATCTTCAGTTTTCTTGTCTGTAAAATGGGAAGGTAATCTTAATGATACCTGTCTCTCACAGGTGGAAGTGCTTTGTAAACTGGGAAGTGCTGGACAAGTGGAGGCATTGATGATGATTTAGCTCTCTGGCTGCCCCTGACTGACTGGAGACCATGGGAATGTCTGTTATGTAGATTCAGCAAGGACAGGTTAAGCAGTGCCCCCATTTGTCCATCTGTCATACTTCTCCCATCCTGAAGCCTTTAGAATTTAGTTCAGGGCAGGGCTCCCAACTCATTGCCGTGGACACAGAGGCTGGTATCAGTGATCCAAGCACAGGAGCTCCCATCACCCAACATTGGAGGCCACTCACCCCCAGAATTGTGTTTCTTAGGCTGCCCAGCCTCACAAAAAGGAGATATTTCAAAACTGTCTCACACAGAAGCATGCAGCTGTTTATTTTTTCTTTTGAGATTATAGAAAATAAATTAATTAAAATACACTATATCCTCCCGGCTTTCCCACCCACGTGTGTCAGACAGAGAATTCCATATTCTATTTTCCTTTTGATTCTCTTGCCAGAAACTATTTTTGATGATATTTATTGTATTTGTCAAGTTTTTAGTTGTAGACTCAGTATTCTCTTCAGCTACTTTAAGAAGGAAAATGTTTAATAAAGGGTATCTATTAACTCAAGAATGTTTTAATAGGGCTGATGAAACAAACTCAAGTCAGATTCCAGAAATGACTTCCAGAACCACACTGGAGAACTCAGCTGCTAAAAAAGCTGCTGCCTCTGCCACGAACAGAAGCTGCAGGATCAGGAGCCGCTAATCTGTAATGTTTCTATCTCTTCCAGCCTTCCATATCAGCAAAATGGATGCTCTGCTTCCTGCCTAGACCTAGCGTAAATAGATCTAAAATAAAAATCCTGTGTGTGTACTCCCAAAAAATAAAACTCCAGGATGAGATGGCTTCCCTGTTGAATTCTACCAAACATTCAAAGAAGACTTAATACCTATCCTTCTCAAACTCTTCCAAAAAGTTGAAGAGGAGGAGAAGCTTCCTAACTCATTCTACAAAGCCAACATTATGCTGATACCAAAACCAGACTAGGACAACACAAAAAAAGAAAATTACAGGCCAATATCACTGATGAACATCGATGCCACAATCCTCAGCAAAACACCAGCAAATTGCCTACAACAATACATTAAAAAGATCATACACCATGATCAGGTGGGATTTATTCCAGGGATGCAGGGATGGTTCCACATCCACAAATCCATCAACGTGATACACCACATTAATAAAATGAAGAATAAAAATCACATCATCATCTAAATAGATGCAGAGAAAGCATTTGACAAGATACAGCATACATTTATGATAAAAACCCTGAATAAAATGGGTATAGAAGGAAAGTACCTCAACATGATAAAGGCCATATACAGCAAACCCACAGCTAACATCATCCTCAATGGTGAAAAACTGAAAGCTATCCCTCTAAGAACACGAACCCGAAAAGGATGCCCACTGTCACCACTCCTATTTAACATAGTATTGGAAGTCCTAGCCAGAGCAATGAGGCAAGAAAAAGAAATAAAAGGGATCCAAATTGGAAAGGAAGAAGTGAAACTCTTCTGCTATTTGCTTCTGCTTCTGCTTCTGCTATTTGCAGATGACATGATTCTATATATAAAAAACCCTAAAGAATCCACCAGAAAACTTTTAGAAATTGTAAATGAATAAGATAAAGTTGCAGGATACAAAATCATCATACAAACATCACTTGTGTTTCTCTATACTAACAATGATGCAGCAGAAAGAGAAATTAAGAATACAATCCCGTTTACAATTGCAACAAAAAGAATAAAATACCAAGAAATAAACTTAACCAAAGAGGTGAAAGATCTGTACACTGAAAACTATAAAACATTACTGAAAGAAATTGAAGAAGACACAATGAAATGGAAAAATATTCCATGCTCTTGGATTGGTAGAGTTAACATAGTTAGAATGTCCATACTTCCTAGTGCAATCTATAGATTCGATGCAATCCCTATCAAAGTTCCAACAACATTTTTCACAGAAATAGAACAAAGAATCGTAAAATTTATATGGAACAACAAAAGACCCCGAATAGCGAAAGGAATCCTGAGAAGAAAGAACAAAGCTGGAGGTATCACACTCCCTGATTTCAAAATATACTACAAAGCTATAGTAACCAAAACAGCATGGTACTGGCACAAAAACCAACACACAGATCATGGAATAGAATAAAGAGCCCAGAAATAATCCCAAACATCTATGGATAGCTAATTTTCAACAAAGGAGCCAAGAGCATACAATGGAGAAAGGAAAGTCTCTTCAAAAAACGGTGTTGGGAAAACTGGACAGCCACATGCAAAAAAATGAAAGTAGATCATTGTCTTATACCACACACAAAAATTAACTCATAATCAATTAAAGACTTGAATATGAGACCTGAAACCATGAAACTTCTAGAAGAAAATATAGGCAGTACACTCTTCGATATTGGTCTTAGCAACATATTTTCCAGTACCGTGTCTGACTGGGCAAGAGAAACAATAGAAAAAATAAACAAATGGGACTACATCAAACTAAAAAGCTGATGCATAGCAAAGGAAACCATCAACAAAATGAAGGGACAACCTAGCAATTGGGAGAAGATATTTGCAAACCATATATCTGATAAGGGGTTGATCTCCAAAATATATTAAGAACTCATAAATCTCAACAACAAAAAAACTAAAAACCCAATTAAAAAATGGGCAAAAGATCGGAACAGACATTTCTCCAAAGAAGATATACAGATGGCCAACAGGCACATGAAAAGATGTTCAACATGATTAACTATCAGGGAAATGCAAATCAAAACTACAATGAGATGTCACCTCATGCCAGACAGAATGGCTTTAATTAATAAGACAGGAAACAACAAGTGTTGAAGAGGATACGGAGAGAAGGGAACTCTCATACACTGCTGGTGGGAGTGCAAACTGTTGCAGCTACTATGGAAAACAGTATGGAGATTCCTCAAAAATTTAAGGATAGAACTACCATATGATCCAGCTATTCCACTGCTGGGTATTTATCCAAAGAAGATGAAAACACCAATGTGTAAAGATACATGCACCCCTGTGTTCATTGCAGCATTATTGAAAATAGCCATGACTTGGAAGCAACCTAAGTGCCCATCAAGGGATGAATGGATAAAGAAGATGTGGTATATATACACAATGGAATACTAGTCAGCCATAAGAAACGATGAAATCCAGCCATTTGTGACAAATGGATGGATATTGAAAGTATTATGTTAAGTGAAAAAAGTCAAAGGGAGAAGGTAAATTACCACATGATCTCACTCCTAAGTAGAAGGTAAAAACAACAATGAACAAATGCATAGAGACAGAGATTGGATTGGTGGTTACCAGAGGGGAAGTGGGGAGGGAGGCGGGCAAAAAGGATGATTTGGCACATGTGTGTGGTGATGGATTGCAATTAGTATTTGGGTGGTGAACATGATGTAATCTATGGAGAAATAGAAGTATAATGATATACACCTGAAATTTATACAATGTTATAAACCAATGTTACCGCAATAAAAAAAAAGAAAGAAAAAATCAGAACTGTTTCTTTAGGGAGTTTGCACCTCTAGTGTCCTAAGGCCTCCTTCGCCTGCTTTTGGACTGTACTGTCAATTACTAGACTGCCATATATGGACCATGGCCATTGGTGGACGCTGGTCCATATTCGACTATCTCTCCTTTCACCATTGTCCCCTTGACTCATTTTTATAGCGTGTTTTTAATTCATGAAAGGTAAATCAACTCTGATAAGAGACACGACTATAATTGTTGTCACTGTTCTTGTCCTTAGAACCTCAGCAGGGGCTGGACTGGTGAGGGAAACCCTCCAGTTCTCACCAAGTGGTATCTTCCCCACATTTATCCTGTCCCTTGGGTCCAGTTCTGGAACTTTAGCACAAAGGAAACCATTATCATTGTCACACACTGGCTGCAGCCCCACTGAGGCAGGGAGATAGGAGTAGGTGGGGCCCTGGGAACCATCTCATGCTGCATGGTCCCTGTGATAGCAAGAAAAACTTGATAGTGTGATGAGAAGCAAGAATGGAGAGGAGCTAGGAAGAAAAGAGGTTTGAGAGAGACAGGATCTCAGAAAAATCAGCAGTCAGGAAAACCAGAGAGCCTGCATGGATAATGGGGTGATGGAATTTGTGTGGGGCCTTTAACAAGGACCCAGGTGGTGAGGAACAGGAAGAGGCAGAAAATGGATGAGGGGGCACCTTGGCTGGGGGAGCAGGCAAATGGACACAGGACTAAAGGGCCCTAATTACATAGTAATCATCAGTTTCCATCTGGCTTGGCCTTAAAGTTAGTGATACACATATGTTAAAAGTAAGAGAAGAGAAACAGATGTAATATGCAAACACTAATGCAAAGAAAGCTGGAATGGCCTATTAATAGATAAAGCAGACTTCAGAGGATAAAAATTCCTGGAAATAATGATGGATATGTAATAGGGTTCTGGTACCAACTTCAATGTGTGTGTGTGTTTCCTCATACCAAAAAGCAATTCTTGGACATTAGCTGTGTGTCCTACAATTCAACTCAATTCTGACACTATCTACATGGAGATAGCATCAGACCACCATTTAAGAGTTCAGTCCTACCAGACTGTCCCCCCTCATTTCAGATGCCAGTCACAAGTCCAGGTTGTTACCTGCACTGCTGATTGACTGCCTACAAATCAGAGGTTCCCATGACCCCCACCTTGGGTTCTATCAATTTGCTAGAATGGCTCACAGAACTCACGGAAGCATTTCACTAGATTACCAGTATATTATAAAAGGATATAACTCAGGAACAGCCAGATGGAAGAGATGCATAGGGCAAGGTATGGAGAAAGGGCATGGAGCTCCTATGCCCTCTCTGAGTGTGTCACTCTCCCTAAATCTGCACCTGTTCACCAACTTGGAAGCTCTCTCAACCCTGTCTTTTCAGGTTTTTATGGAGGCTTCATTGCATAGGCATGTTCGACTAAATCATTGACCATTGGTGATTGAACTCAATCTCCAGTCCCTTTCCCATCCCTAGAGGTTGAGAGATAGAACTGAAAGCTCCAATCCTCTAACCACATGGTTGGCTCCACTGGCAACCAGCCTCCGTCTTCAGGTGCATTCTGAAAGTCACCTCATTAACATAACAAAAGCCACCTCTATCTCTCTCATCACAGGGAATTCTAAGGGCTTTAGGGGTTCTGTGCCAGAAATGGAGAGGAAGACCAAATATATTTGTATTTGTATTTGTATTACATTAGTAGTTTAAATCATGGTATCATAGTATTACATAAGGATATATCACATAATAATACATTTGTATTATATTTGTATTATAAATCACAGTATCACAGTATCACATAATGATGAAGAGGTCAAGTTATAAAGAAGAGATGATGATCCTCAACTTGTATTCACCTAACAGACCTTCAAAACACATGAAGCAAAAACTGACAGAACTGAAAGCAGAAATAGACAAATCCACTATTACAGTCAGAGGCTCTTATACTCCTCTCCCAGAAGTGGAAGTAGTAGGTAGTAAATCAGCAAGAATATGGAATATGTGAACACCACCATCAACCAACTTAACTTAATTGATATTTTAGAATATTCCATCAAACAACAGCAGGCTATGCAATTTTTTCAAAGCATGTGGAAAGTTCCACAAGATAGGTTCTATCCTGGGTCATAAAACAAACTTTGACAAATTTAAAAGATTTGAAAAATATAAAGTCTGTTGTCTGACCGTAATAGATTAGACTAGAAATGAGTAATAGAAAGAGAACAGAAACATATCCAAACCCTTAGATATTACACAAGACACTTGTAAATATTCTGTGGGTCAAACAGGAAGTCTCCAAGGAAGTTAGGAAATAGCTGAACTAAATGAAAATGAAAATACAACATATCAACCTATATGGGATGAAGTTAAATTAGGGCTTATAGAAAAATTGTAGAAGTAAAAGCTTATATTAGAAAAGAAGTAATATATCATAAATAATTTAAGCTCTCATCTTCTGACTTGAAAATTGAAAACACCTAGAACAAGTAGTAGGAAGGAAATAATAAAGATAAGAGCAGAAACCAATGAAACTGATAAATCTGACAAAGGGTATATTCCCAAAACCTACAGTTAAGTCAGTCTTAATGGGGAAAAACTGAATGTCTTTTCCCTGGTATTGGAAATAAGAAAAGATGTTCAATTTCAGCAGTTCTACTCAATATTGTAATAGAAGTTCTAGCCAGTGCATTATAGCAAGAAAAAGAAATAAAAACTATACAAATTGGGAAAGAGGCAGGGGAAATCTATCATTATTTGTAGATAACAAGCTTGTCTATGTAGAAAACCCTCTAGAACTAATAATTGAGTTTAGCAAGATTACAGGAAAGAAACCCAGTAGAAAAATATGTTCATACTTCTATATACTAATGAAAGACATGAACAGCTAGGTAAAAAGTTTGGATTCCAGGTCGTAGGGAGTGTATTGAAATTCTTGAAGGAGTCTACATACATGAAGATTAATCTAGCCAAGTTATACAAAATGGATTAGAGGGCGACGCAAGACACTGTTGGCACGGAACCCTGTTAAGGCTCTGTAGGTATTATCTTGTGTACTCACCTCCAGTCTCTGATCCATCTCTCTTACCGTTTGTTCTAAATTGAAAATATGAAACATTTTTTAATCCAAGTTGGGCACTTCTCCCACAGACTGTTTGGAGAGTAGGTGATAATAATATTACCGCCTGATGTCGTTAGGGAATTCTGATCCAATTTCATTACCAATGAGTGCTAGAAACAGCTAAAGTTTCACTATTTCTTTTATCCTTCATAAGATTGTGAAAATAAAATAAAATTATTGCACATGAGGTTCTAGCATGGGTCCTGACATGTTGTAGGTGCTTGAACAACCACTCTAGGGGTAAAGGAACACGAAGGAGCCAAGGAAAAGGTCCAGGTTTCTGGAGTGGACCATTGACTGAAAGTGGGAACACAGAAATAGGTTGCAAATGATGATAATGAATGAAGCATTCATTGGACATGTTGAGTGTGAGCCCCCAGTGGAGATACCTGTTGAGTTGAATGCAGGGTCTGATGCTAAGCAGATGGTGTGGGGTGGGGATATAGACTTGGACATTAGCAATATGTGAATGATAACTGGAGCCCACAGAATAGATGTCCTAGTGAGAGAATGAAAAATGAGATGAAAGGGGGCTATGACAAAACCCTTGGAAGTACCAACATTTGAGGGAAGAATGGCTGCAGAGGAAGAAGAGCCAGCAAAAGAGCCTGAGGAGGATGGCAGGTGGGAAATGCAAAGGAGATATCAAGAAAACTGAAGGAAGAGAGTGTTTTGTGAAGGAGAGAGAGGTCAACAATGTCAACTACTGGAGAAGTCACCTGCCGATGCTCTGAATACTAGGAGAGGAAAGTGAAGAGAGAGTGTCTTGGAGAAAGTGTAGAAGTGTTACTGTGATGTAGAAGAGGGAGAAATAGGACAATAGTTGGGGATGTGAGGTTAAGGGGGGTGTTATGAAGAGAGAGTACTGAGAACATCTGAGGGGTGAACAAGGAGTGTGCAGAAATGGATCAATGTAACATACCAAAGAAAGAAGAAAAAAATTAGAAAGCCAAGTTCCCAAAAAAGTAGGAGGAGAAGGGAATTGAGGTGCAATGAAGGTACTAACTTTAGACACTGGGAGCTCAGTATCTTCCATGGGGACAGGAGAGAAAGTTAGGATAGACATAAATAAATGCAGGTCAATTAAAAATTTGGTGATAGGAAGTTGAAATCATCCCTTTCTGCTTTCTATTTTCCCCTGAGACACAGGAGGCCCTGTCATTTGACAAGAGTGATAAGGTAGGATGGTGTCTTAGTCTGGTCAGCTGCCATAACAAAATAACATACATGGCGGCTTAATCAACAGAAATTACTTTTCTCACAGTTCTGGAGGCTGGAAGGAGCAGATCAGAGTGCCAGCTTGTTGGGTTCTGGTGAAAGATCACTTCCTGGCTTACTAATGGTCACCCTTTCCCTGTGTCGTCACATGGCAGAGAGAGAGAGAGAGAGAGAAAGAGAGAGATCTGTCTCATGACAGTAATCTCACCATGAGGGTCCAACACTCATGGACCTTATCTAAACATAAAATCCTCACAAAGGCTCCGTCTCCAAATACCATCACATTGGCAGTTAGAGCTTCAACATATTAATTTTGGGGGGACACGATTTTGTCCATAGCTGATGGATGTCTTTGAATGTGAGAAGCAGTCAGCAGCATGATGAAAAAAGGTGGGCTTTGGCGACAAACTATCTGTATTTGAATCCTGTCTCTGATACTTTTCAGCCATATGGACTTGAACAAATGACTGAGTCTTTCCATGTCTCAGATTTCTAATCAGGAAAGTGGGGATAAGAATGCCTATCTTACTGAGTATTTATGAGTATTGAAAGAGTTAAAACATTCAGAATGATTCTAACAATGTATATCACATAGCAAGAACTCAAAATGTGCTAGGTATTATAAATTTAAATAAATATAAATATATATTATAAATTATTATATTATATATAAATAAATTATTATTATATTATAAATATATTATATATTATAAATTTATATTATACTTAAGTAGCTGTCATGCACAAGAATGATTACTGAGTGATGTTAAATATTGTTTGAGGCTAGATATTGTGAATTTTTAATGGTGTTGTCTGGGAGGCTAGTGATTTTGTCAGGCAGCGAGAGTGTTGTGCAGATGGAGAGGACAGTTAGCTTGATCCAAGGTTTATAATTTACTAAGTAAGTGATACTGAGTGACAGTGGGAAACGTGCATTTAGGAGACTGGCCAAAGTGTTATGAATTGACCCATGGAATTTTAGCAGAGTACTGAAGAAATTGTGGTGGATATGGCATGCAGGCACTCAGTGGGATTACTGTACTGCAGGAGCAAGAGAGCTAACCCACATTTCCCAGACTGTCTTGCCGCTAGCATTCTGGATGTGATGTAAGTGTTATTTTCAGAGGTGGGCTTGGAAGGTAGAAGTGAAACAGAAGCCACCTCTTTGCTATTTCTTCTGTTTCTGTGTTAAGGCCAGTCAGGGGGCCCCTGGATTTTCTGCAACACTATATCCATGGGTATTGGGAGACAAATTGTTGGATATTGAATTTTTACTAATGTGTATCTAGAGGGTTAGACATGTCTCTGCAGCCAACATTGCTTGTGGTGGCTTCTTGACTGCTGAGCATTCTATTGCTTGCAGCCACGTATCCTATGTGAAACACACGTGGGTGCTGATGCCATACTGAATGACTGCAGGAATTTTGCTGAAGAAAATATCTGATCCTGTCTTTGGTGAGAGGTGATCAGGAGCATGGTTGATAGATGACTGTGCTGTGGCAGTTAGTGTGTAATATAGCCAGATATATCCTTAAAGCACTGGGGAATGAACATGTGGGGGAGGAATTGTGACCTCGCTCCAAGAGGAAGAAGCAAGGAAGGCTTGACCACCTCTATACCCTAAGGTGTGTGGGTGTGATAAAAAGATCATCCTCTTCTTGAGAAGTTCATGGGAGTTCAGGTGGAGATCATGATCTGCATGGGAGAGACAGGTTTCAGTTAAGGCAAACCATTTATAATATTTAATCACAGGCATTAATTTACTCTTGTGAATGATAACTTTTTTCCTTCAATTATATTTGTGTGGTTACAACTGATGTATTATGGCATATTAATTTTGATATGTGATCTTAAATTCAGCCTATTCAGTTGAATTCTGTATAAATATTATATGTGTTATAATAATATTAATATATATATTAAACTGGTATTAATGGAAACTAAATATTTATAAATTAATATGTAAATTGTAATCTCCAGGACAACCACTTAGAAAATAACGAGCAAATATCTAGTAAAAAAAATGACAAGATAATAAAATGGTACAATAGAAAATATATGTTTATCATGAAGAAGACAGCAATGGCAAAATAGAGAAACAAAATATACATGACATATAGACTATTAACAGAAAAATGGCAGATATAAACTTTACAAACGGCAGAGCTAAATTTTATGTTAATAATTAAATTCAATGTAAATAGACTGATTGTTCTAATTAAAAGGCAAAGATTGACAGAATAAATAAAATGAAAATACGATCCATCTATATGCAGCAACCAGAGCACATGCTTCAGATCCAAGGATACAAATAGGCTGAAAACAAAAAGATGGGAAAAGATATGCCATACAAACAATAACTAAAAGAGCTAGAGTGTGTATACTAATTTCAGACAAAATAGACTTTAGGACAAAAATTGTTACTAGAGACAAAGAAGTATATTTTATAATGACAATATGGTATATCCATAAAGAGGATATAACAATTATAAACCTATATGAACATACAAACAGAGCCCCAAGATACAGGAGGCAAAAAATGACAGAATAGAAGGTAGAAATATACAATTCAACAATAATAGTTGCAGACTTCAATACTCCAATTTTAGTAATGGATAGAAAGTACAGAGAAAAGATCATCAAGGAAATAGAAGATAATAGAGCATATAAAGCAGTTAGTCAACAGTCACATGCAAAAAGGTGACACTAGACCACTATCTTACACCATACATAAAAATTAACTCAAAATGAATTAAAGACTTGAATGTAACAGCTGAAACCATAAAACTCCTAGAAAAAAACATAGGCAGTATGCTCTTTGACATTGGTCTTAACAGTATGTTTTCAAATATGTCTCCTCAGGCAAGGGAAACAAAAGCAAAACTAAACAAATGGGACTACATCAAACTAAAAAGCTTCTGCACAGCAAAAGAAACCATCAACAAAACCAAAAGATGACCTACCAATTGGGAGAAGATATCTGTATATCATACATCTGATCAGGCGTTAATATCCAAAATATGTAAAGAACTCATACAACTCACCACAGCAAAACAAACAACCCAAGTAGAAAATGGGAAGAAGATTTGAATAGACATTTTTCCAAAGAAGACATAGAGATGACCAACAGGCACATGAAAAGATGTTCAACATCACTAATTATTAGGGAAATGCAAGTCAAACCACAATGAGATAACACCTCATGCTCATCAGAATGGCTATTTTTAAAGAGAAGAAATAACAAGCGTTGGAGAGGATGTGAAGAAAAGGGAACCCTCATATACTGTTGGTGAGAATGTAAAATGGCCAGCCACTATGGAAAACAGTATGTAGATTCCTCAAAAAATGAATAATAAGACTATTGGATTATCCAGCTATGCCACTTCTGTATATTTATTCAAAGAATATGAAAACACTAATTCAAAAAGATATATGTACCCCCATGTTCATTGAAGCATTATTTACAATAGCCAAGACACAGAAACAACCAAGTGCCCATTGATGGATAAATGGATAAAGAAGATGTGGTATACAATGGAATACTACTCAGCCATAAAAATGATGAAATCTTGCCACGTGTGGCAACATGGATGGACCTTGAGGGTATAAGACTAAGCAAAATAAGTCAGACAGAGAAAGCCAAATACCATATGATTTCAATAATATGTGGAAGGTGAAAAACAGCAAGAAACAAACATACAGAGAACAGATTGGTGGTTACTAGAGCGGAAGAGGGTAGGGGGAAGTCAAAAGGGATAAAGGGGCACGTTTGTACAGTGAGAGATGGAAACTAGACTTTTGGTGGTGAACACAATGTAGTATATGCAGAAGTCAAATTATAACGATGTACACTTGAAATCTACACAATATTTTAAACCAGTGTCACCTCAATAAAACAAAAACTATTAGACCTACCAGACATCTATTGAACACTCCACACTCCATCTATTGAAGCGTTCACTATTTAGTGGTTTACCCATTCTTCTGAAGCATACATGGAACATTCTCCGAAAACACAATACATTAGGCCATAAAACAAGCTTCATTAAACTTAAAAAGATGGAAATTATGCAAAGTGTGTTGTCCAACGTCAATGAAATGAAAGCAGAAATCAACAGCAACAGGAAATTTGGCAAACTCACAAACACAAGGAGATTAAATAACACACTCTTCAACAACCAAAGAGTAAAAGAAGAAATCACAAGGAAATTAGAATCTACTTTGAGATGCAAAGCACTGGAAAGACAACATACCCAAACTTATGGGATATGTTGAAAGCAGGACTTAAAGGAAAATTTATAGCTATAAATGCCTATATTAAAAGAGAAGAAAGACCTTAAATCAGTAACCTAAACTTCCAACTTAAGAGACTATAAAAAGAAGAGCAAATCAACCTCAAGACAAGCAGAAAATAGAAAATAAGATTAAATGTTTGATTGTATGGATATACCACATTTTGGTTATCCATTTATCAGTTGATGCACATTTCAGTTATTTGTACTCTTTGACTATCATAAACAATGCCAAGTTTTTGTGTGAACAAGTTTTCAATTTTCTTGAGTGTATACCTAGGAGTGGAATGCTGGGTCATATGGTAGCTGTGTGATGAACATATTGTGGGAATGATAAAATGTTTTCCAAATTGGCTGCACCATTTTACATTCCCACCAGCAGTAGAATGAGGGTGCCAATGTCTCCCCATTGTTGTCCACACTCGTGATAGTCCAAATTTTTGATTCAAAAATACAAATAGACTGTATCAAGTGGACATGAAGTATTACCTCAATGTAGTTTTGACCTGCATAACTCTAATGACTAATGATGTGGGACATCTTTCTTTGTGTTTATTGGCCATTTGTATATATATATGTTTTTTTTGGAGAAGTATCTATTTGAATACTTTAACAATTTTAGCAAATTGGGTTATTAGTCTTTTTATTATTAAGGTGTAAGAGTCCTTTATGTATTCCGGATTTATTGTTAGTGCTGTCAAGTCAATATGGACTCCTAGCAACCCAATGTACAGCAGAGGGCAACCCTGCTGGTTCTTTTTATGCCACCCTCTTATATTCCAGTGTTATATTAGGCAATGCTCTACTGCTATTCATAGGGTTTTCATGGTCAATTTTTTCAGAAGTTGGTGGCCAGATATTTCTTCCCAGTCTGTCTTAGTCTGGAAGACCTGCTGAAACCTGTCCACCAGCAGGGTGACCCTGCTGGTATTTGAAATACTGGTAACATAGCTTTCAGCATCACAGCAACATGCAGCCACCACAGTATGACAACCGACAGGTAAGTGGTGTGGTTCCCTGAGGAGGAAATGAATCTGGGCCACAGAGGTGAGAGCACTGATTCTTAACCACTAGACCACCAGGGTGGCTATGTATTCTGGACACTAGACCCTTTTCTGATGCATGATTTTCAAGTATTTTGTCGCATTTCTAGATTGTATTTCACTTTTTTGATAGTGTCTTTTTTTCTTTTTGTTTGCTGATGAAGATTCACCCTAAACTAACATCTGTTGCCAATCTTCCTCCTTTTGTGTGTGAGCCACCACCACGGCATGGCCACTAACAGATGAGCAGTGTAGTTCTGCCCCTGAGAACCAAACCCGGGACACTGAAGTAGAGTGAGCCAAATTTAACCATGAGGCCACCAGGGCTTTCCTATGATAGTGTCCTTTGAAGCACAAAATGTTATTTTTTATTGAAGTCCAATTGATTTATTCTTAATTTGGTTGCTTGCACTTTAGGTGTCGAACCTAAGAAACTGTTGCCTAATCCAATGTCATGAATATTTTCACCTATGTTTCTTTAAAGAGTTTAGCTCCCATACTTAGGTCTTTGGTGAGTTTTGAGTTAATTTTTGTATATGGCATGAGGTAAGGGTGCAACTTCATTCTTTTGCATGTTGATATCAAGTATTCCAAGCATCATTTTTTGGAAACAGTATTCATTCCTCCCTTGATTTGTCTTGGCACCCTCGTTGAAAATCAAGTGACCAATAATGTGTGGGTTTATTTATGTTCTTTCAAGTTTTATTCCAGTGATCCTTCCTCATTTCAGTGCTACATTGTCTTGATTACTTTAGCTTTTCAGTAAATTTTGACACGATGAAGTACGCGTCTTCCAACTTTATTCCTCTTTTTCAAGATTGTTTTGGGTATTCTGGGTCTACTTTATTTCCATATGAATTTTAGGATTGGAAATTATCAATTTCTGTAAAAATCTTTATCAATTTCTGCAAAAAAATCCAGATAGAATTTTGATGGGAGTTGCATTGAATATGTAGTTCACTTTGGGGAGTATTGCCAACTTAGCAATATTAAATCACCAAATCATGAACATGCTATATCTTTCCATTTATTTAGGTGCTTTTTAATTTCTTTCAACAATGTTTTGCAGTTTTCAGTACACTAGTCTTACACTTCTTTTGTTAATTCTATTGCTAAGTATTTTTTTCTCTTTGATTCTATTGTAATGCAATTGTTTCTTGATTTATTTTTGGATTGACTGTTGCTAGTTTATATAAATATAACTAATTTTTGTGTATTCATCTTGTGTCCTGAAACCTTACTGAGCTTTATTAGGTCTAATATTTTCTTATGGATTCCCTTGGATGTTCTATATATAAAATGATGTCATTTTCAAATAGAGATAGTTTTAAATCTTCCTATCTAATACGATAAAATTGTACTCTTTTTCTTACCTAATTGTTCTGGCTAAAAACTACGGTATAATGTTGAATACAAGTGATGAAATCTGACACTTTTTTCCTTTGATCTTATGGAGAAAGCTTTCAGTTCTTCACTGTTAAATAAGATGTTAGCTGTGGATTTGTCATAAATACCTTCTGTCAGGTTGAGGAAGTTCTCTTCAAGTCCTACCAGTTGAGTCGGTTTTCTTCATGAGAGGGTGTTGAATTTTGTCAATACTCTTTTTTCCTCTACGCTGGTGATCATGTGTTTTTTTTCCTTTAATATACTAATATCTCATATTATATTGCTTAATTTTCTTATGTTGAACCAACCTTGCATGTCTGGGATGAATCTCACTTGGTCATGTTGTATAATCCTTTTTTATGTGCTGATGGTTTCAGTTTGCTAGTAATTTGTGGAGGATTTTTGCATGTATAGTCATAAGGATATTGGTCTGTAGTTTTCTTGTGATGTCATTGTCTTGTTTTGATATCAGGGTAATTCTGGCTTCATAGAATGATTTGGTAAGTGCCTAAGTGTCATTTCCTATTATATTTTTTAGAAGCATTTGTGAAGGATTGACATTAGTTCTTTAAACGTCTGGTACAATTCAAGATGACGCCACTCTGGCTTTGCTTTGAGGGAATATTTTGATTACTAATTCATTCTTTTTACTTGTCATAAGTTTATCTAGATTTTCAATTTATTTTTAAGTCAATTTGATAGCTGTGTCTTTCTAGAAATTTGTCCATGTTCTAATTTATGTATTTTTTTCATATAATTGTTCACAGTATTCCTCATCATGTTTTTTATTTATGTGGATTAAATTAATTCCCTAATTTCTACAATCCCAGCTAGATTAATACCAATTTAATTTAAATAGTAAACTAAACTTTGAGCCTATATAGCTATGTTTCATCCTGATTGATGCTGTTATTCTTATACAAATTGCATCTTTTACCTTGTGTGCTGATTAACACCAATTTATAATTTTTGTATTATACAAGTTTCCTTTAAGTCTATTAGGAGAAAAAACTGTTACAAATAACAACAACAACAACAA